GGTGGGCTAAAGCTATCACAGATACCTGGCTCACAGACTTCTCTTGATGTTTTCCCAGAAAAGACTCATAGAAGGCTACAGGATGATTAAGTTTATTCTGGAAATCTTCTCACCTGTAGATTTGTGATTGTATGCTCTACGTTACGACTGTATACCAGAAGGCAGTTAATGTTGCCCATTAACCACCTCGTATTGAACCTAATTACTTTTGATTAAAACACACAATGAATCCAAAAGGCTTAAAACTTGATACAAATGCATGAAGACAAGTCAGAATTTCACTGGCATTTTTTTCCAGTAAGAATCACAAACATACTTAAAAGTTTGTACTAAATATTTTATTTAAATTTTTGTCTTCAACTGCAAGCCACTGTGTATCATTACCTTTTCTACACAAAAATGAAAAAGCCTCTTGCTACTCAAGTATTTTCTCTTTGTAAAGACACTTCTACACTGTAATCAAGTCACTTCTTGTTTTTGTTTGTTGTAAATGAAACAGATGGAGCTCTTTAAGCCTTTGCCAACAGCATGCTTTCTTCAGTTGTTGAATAAATTGTGTGTCTTTTCCTGCATTCTTCCACTTATTTTTAATATGGAACATTGTAGTTAATGTTTTATGCAGCAGTATTTTACACATCAATACAACACAAAACCATTGTTGGTTTTTTAAATACATTTGAGGGTTTTTTTTCCCCTCAGAGCACTGCAATAGGGCTCATATGCTTAGGTCCTCAGCAGTCCTTTTCAGATCACTTCTGTTTCCTCACATACAGTTCAGCAGCTGTAACCTACGTGTCTTTTTCTTTGCCTGTACCTGGCAGCTGCAAGTGACCAGAAGTGACCTGCAGTACATAGAAAAATATACCGTGTAACTAAAAAAAGTTACCACAGGATTTGAGTTAGTGTATATGCTTGCTGTCCTGCGGAAGGGAGGTACTGGAAAGGAAGAAAGAGTGGAAATGAAGTGTCTTTTTAAAAGTCAGTGTTGAAATAATAGAGTAAGGGCTTTTCTCATCCACCTACAGAAAAAAAAGGAAGCAATGAAATGGCTCATTTGTCTCATTATGATTTTCTCATCAGAAAGACTTGAGGGGTGAAGACAGGTTGAATGTGCTGAAAGCTGTACTGCTCTCTTTTTTGTAAGAGTAGGACTTTCCATCTACCCCTCTGTAGTTTAAACCATGCACATTTATGGTGTGCATGAAGAATGTGTTTGCCTACTAGTGTTAATATTTTCATCTTTTGTTTCTCTTGCTTACTGCATACTGTACTCAACTTCGTTATATCTGACTAAGACAGAAATGCGTTTTGGCAGAGACACACAGTGGAGACAAAGATTTGGACAGAAGCACAAGGTTCCAAAATGGGAGCTCTGTTATCGCACCCCAAGTAACTTAAGACCCTTACTCTACCATGTGGCAAAGCAAATTTCCAGACAATCAATTCACTGCATGAACATAAAAACCTTTGGACCTTCTTCAGTGTTACAGTGCGTATGCTCTGTGAAATATATAACTCTAGAACAAAACAGTAAATATTCCATCCTCATCCCAGCAGAAAACCTATACTATACATACATTATTTCTCTCATATGCTTGTCTCATCTTAAAGAAGTCCGACAACATTCCTTATTTTCCTCAGGCAATATTTCCAGTGTGTTCTTATACTGAGCATCAAAAGTAGCTCCTTATCATCTGATCTAACTTTCACTGTAGTTTAAATGGATTATTTTTTACCCTGTCTGCTACAAACATGGAGAATTAAAGACACTTGCAGAAGCCTTTTCTTATTTTATAATTATCATAATTTCTATTCAGATAGTCTTTATTTAGGCTTTAGACCCCATTTGTTTTGTTTATCATAAGAAGTCAGGCTGTCAAGTTCTTTGTCACTCCTGTCATCTATACATGGACTGTCTTCATTTGGTCTACATTTTTGTTGAATGCAGCTCACTGCACAGTGCAAAGCACTCCAAATGAAGCTTTACTCCAGCTCAGTGCGAATGGAAGGATTATTTTATGCTTCTAAGTGGTTATGTTCCTTTTTATGTATCGCGGCACCCTATTTGATTTGAAACAAAATTCTGGAGTTTATTCCTACTTAACTGGTGATTTGCTGTATTTTGAGATCTTCAACTTGTTCTGAGTGGATAACATTTGTTATTTCAAACTCTATCTCAAATTTTTCAAAATTTATGAAGACTTCTAATCCTGTCCTCCAGTGCACCTTTTCATGTTGCCATCAATAAGCATACTCCATTGTCAACCATCCAGACTGTTATTGAAAAAAAATGAGTGGAACTAGATGGGTAGTAGACCTCTTCAAAATCTGTATACATTTTGGTAGTAAAGCCACAAATAACTAATGTATGAAAATGGCTTTCCAACATTTTCTATTCACCTCATATCTTGTAGTTCATATCCAGCCCAATTACTAGTATTTCACATGAAACAGCAGCAGAAACATAAGTGAAATCAAGGACTATGATATATGCCACTTTTTTTTTTTTTTCTATAATCCACAAGGCCTGGAACTGTAGTGTAGGAGGGAACAGGTTTGCTTCCATAAGCTCATTTTTTTGTAAATTAGTTTATACTTTAGGTTCTTATAACTAATCCGTGTAGTAACTTTTTTCCTGTATTTTCTCCAGGAAAAGAAATTACACAAGTGGATCTATAATTTCCCCGCTCTGTCTTTTACTTTTTTTTAAAGGCAGACGTTATTGAGTCTTCAGGTACTTTACCTATCTTACACAAGTTTGCAAACAAAACTGCTGAGCTTTCATCAACCACTAATCAATTGTAAAGTTCATCAAACCATCCTGTATGGACATCGAATTCATGTGACAATTCTCCAGCCTGCCTTTTCTGTTCAATACTGAAGTTGACCTTTTTACTGATGGGTTAAGCAAAAGCAGAATTAAAAATCTGGCATGATTACCATGATCAGTGTCCATCCTTCTCCATTTAATAGCAAACCATACTTTTCCTTCATCTTTAATGCTGAAGCTCTTACATCATCATTTCTTGTTATCCTGACCATCCTATGATAGCTATATCTTATTCAGTGCCTTTGCCAGTCTGATTTCATGCCTGCTTACTTGCGCTGTACTTCTTAGGTTATCCTTAGTAACCTGACATTTTTTTGCTAGTTGGGCATTTTCATCCTTTCAAAATCAGGAAGTATCAGATCGGTCTCCTAATACCCCATGCCTTCCTCCCACAAAACGATAACTGGTCCTATTGCAGCAACTTCCTTAATTAGCCTTTTAACTTAATTCAGCCTCCCAGCAGGCTTGACATACGAAATTTTCTGCATTCTTTGAAATTTTTCTGAATTCCTTTGTTATCTTTTTCACCCTTCTCTCCTTCCCTCTCCCTTCCCATGGATCTTAATTGCTCTCACCCACGTTCTTCACATTCCTCTCCTCATTTTCAGATACTACTTTGCCTTCTCATTTGGAATCAAATCCCAAAAAAATCTGTTTGTTGTTGCCTTTTCCACTATCACATGACAAATTGCAAATAACACATTCAGAAATCTTTGAATTTTTGAATGATGATTCACTTCCAAAACAATGTTATGGTAGTTAATACTCTTAAGCCCAGTGTTCTTAAAAATTGTGCGAGTTCTTTTACATATTTAAAATACTAAGAAACCGAAACCAAACAACAAACAAAAAATGCCTATAAAAAACTAAGCTTTCATTCTACTGGTTTTACTGGACTTGTGATCTGTAGTGAATGATTAAATGTAGCAGATAACTATAAGTGTGCAGTATTTCCCACACACTTGCTAAGTCTGATCTAGATTCTGTCATTCTCCTTGCCTATGAGCTTCTGCTTTGTTCCCCTTACAGCCTTTTCTAAATAATTATTTTAGAGAAAAAGTGTAAAGAGGAGGGTCCTGTCCTGTCCCCCCCCCCCTCCTTCTCATCACTTTTCCCTTTGTCAGTTGTGTTGGATTTTTACATAGATTCTATTTTTGCCTGTTAGCTCAAAGAATATCGTGGTTAAGAAAAAGCACTAGGTTATACCCTCTGCCAGCCATGCATTTATTACTGGAATGAATCTATAATTCTCCGAGTGCTGGTTACCCCAGAAACCCCATGTGATCCTTGAATTCAGCTCCTTAGAATGAGATTCCTGGGAGGCATTAACTGATATACCCAACTTGAGTGAAACAAGGATTCTTCCATCACTTTCTGTGTAGAATACCAGTGGCCATTCTGCTCGTTTATATCTGTCACAGATACAGTTTTCCTTCTATATGGCTGGAGTGGCTTTTGGTGTTCATGGGAACTGTTAACCTCTACAGTTCTTTCATTTTACATCAATTTTGGATCAGAAAGATCACAGTATAAGTCATACCAGGGTAGGGCTTGCTCTGTATTAATGCAGTGCACCGTAGGGAGATGAGGAACTATGGGTTTTCTTTGGTATGCCAAATGAGTTAATTGTTTTCATACCACACCTCGTATGGTCTTCTAAATAGTCTTCTATATATTCTCCTATAATTCTGTTGTTTCAGATTTGAATTAATTTGAATTCCAACTCAATTAAATCTCTTTAAATGCAGAAAAATGAAGAACAATTGAGGAAATTTGTGGTTTTCTGTTGGGATCTGAGAGGTGACTTCATCTAAACATGGAAGCAACCTTAAGAAATATTTTTCTTATTATTGTTACCAAGGTTATTAAGTCTCTAAAATATTTTTTAGAATGTGGCATATAGTCAAACTAATTATGGTGTTCAGATGTAATGCTACAATACACAAAACATATTTGCAAATGTAGCTCATACTTATTCCTTTAAAATATTTAATTTGTTCACTATCAGCTATGATCTATGAATATCTCTAGTTTCAAAGCTGTTAAGCAGAAATAGTGTTTCCAACCCAGAAAACTTAAATTATGTACTTGTCACTTGCACTGTGAAGCAGCGTTTCTGCTTTCCCAAACCCAGCATGATTTATAGCTTTAATGTTTAATTTTCTTTCAGACAAAAACTGTTCCATGGATATTGATGAATGTTCCTCCAAGCCCTGCAAAAATGGAGGCCATTGCCATGATTTGATTGGTGAATTTTACTGTAGCTGTTTGCCAGGTAAGAAGTCAAATATTCAAGTGAGAAATATTCTGTGGTATTCAAGAAAGAAATACAGTTTTTCATAAGAACACAACTAAGTAGTCACTTATTTTGCTTGACAAGAGAGAACGACCAAGCAAATATTCTTTAAGCAAACTCTACAATTGCTATGCAGCTGGTGTCAGCAGAATTTATTTACAAGATATAACCTGTGTACCAGAAATCCTGCCTTGTAAACTGATGAATGAAGAGCCTTGGAAATCAACCAATACTACCAGTGGTATTCACCTTAGTGACTTTGAGGGATTCCGAATTTCTAAATCTTTCCCAAAGTTGATTTTTTTTTCTTTCATTAATATAGAATGATATTGTTTCAGGCTTTCTTACTAGAAAATGTTAGCTTTTAGATTTCTTATGATACCCTGAAGGAAAAAGAAAAAAGGGGCAATATTTATACAGTAGTTGTCATAAGGGTTGCTGTGGTGGGTTGGTCCTGTTTGTATGACATATGGCCAACCAAATCCACTCTATCACTTCCCTCCTCAACTGGACAGGAAGACATCACTCACCAATTACTGGTATGGGCAAAACAGACTTTACTTGGGGAAATCCATTTAATTTGTTATAAATTAACAATTTGTTTAATTTATTACAAACCAGAGTAGGATAATGACAAATAAAAACCTGCTGTCATTTAAACCCAGCCTGTAACTCAGAACCATGCCAGTGCCCACTCAATCCCCCTTTCACCCTCCCCAGGTAGGATGAGGAAGAGAATCAAAAGAATGTAAATCTGGGCTGAGATAAGAACAGTTTAACAACTGAAGTATAATATACTACTATGGGAAATAACAAGACAAGAGAAAATAAAACGAAAAGGGCAAACTAAAAACCAACCAAACACTAAACCCAAGTGATGCACAATACAACTGCTCACCAACTGCCAACCGATACCAAGCCCAACCCAAGCAGCGATCTGCCCTTCGGGGCCACTCCCTCCAGCTTATATACTGGGCATGACATGCTGTGGTATGGAATACCCCTTTGGCTAGTTTGGGTCAAGTGTCCTGTCTCTGCTTCCTACTGGCTTCTTGTGCCCCTCCTCACTGGCAGAGCATAAGAGACTGAAAAGTCCTTGACCAGGATAATCACTACTTAGAGAAAGCTAGAACATTGGTGTGTTACCAGCATTGTTATCAGCATTGTTCTCAGACTAAAGCCAAAACACAGCACTGCACCAGCTCCTGGGGAAAAAAACAAACAAAACAACCAACCAAAACCAACTGTTACAGCTGAAACCAGGACAAAACTAAAACTTAACACCTTCCCCTCATTCCTCCCTTCTTCCTGGGCTTATCTTTACTCTTAAATTCTCTACCTCCTCAGACAGACAGGGAATGGGGATTGTAATTTCATCAAATGTTGTCTCTGCCACTCTTTCCTCCTAAGCAGAAAACTCCTCACACTCTTCCCTGCTCCACTGTGGGGTCCCTCCCACATGCGACAGTTCTGTATGAACTTCTCCAAAGTGAGCTCCTCCCACATGCTGCAATTCTTTGTGAACTGCTCCAGCATGGGTCTTTTCCAGAGTGCAGTGCTACAAGAACAGACTGCTCCTCTGTGGGTCCCCCACAAGTCCTGCTGCAAACCTGCTCCAGCATGAGTTTCTCTTACCATGGGGTCACAGGTCTTACCAGGAGCCTGCTCCAGCATGGACTTCCCACAGGGTTTCCTCCAGGGCACACCCACTTGTTCTGACATGGGGTCCTCCCACATGGGGCTGCAGGTGGAGATCTGCTCCACAATGGACCTCCATGGGCTGCAGGTGGACAGCTGTCTCACCATGGTCTGCACCACAGGCTGCAGGGGAATATCTGCTCTGCCACCTGTAGCACCTCCTGCCCATCTCTTTGTGTTTATTTTTTGGAAGATGTACTAAGATCCTGGATCCTTTGGAGATACTGCTGATGTTCATCTTGCCCTCAAACTCCTGCCTCTGGTTGCCAAGCCAAATGGGAGTACTGCCAAAAGAAGACCTGGAACAAAGTGAAGAGTGATTACAGAGCACTAGGAAAAGTGAAGAAGGGACTAGAGGAAATGTGGAAAGTCAAAGGCTTAGATAAGTTTGGGCATGTCATGCAGATGAGTTCTTGGCTGTGTAGCTGTAATTGCAGACAGATCTTTAGCTTTTAATTCTCCCTCTGAGGGACAGTGGGAGATGTGTCCAGTTGAGAAAGTGGAAAAAGAGCATTTTGGGCAGCAGGCTTCCTATCCTGCCAAGTGGTCTTTAAACTGGATACATCACTGGAGAATAGATGTAAGAAGGAGATGTGAAGGCACATAGAGCAATGAGAAAATGTCTGGGTGGCAGAATAGTAGGGGAGGTTCTCACACTCGTGAAAGTGACATATCTGAGAGAGTCCCTCTTTAGTACAAATGCATGCAGCAGGTGATGGAAACATGAGGAATTACAAGTGTGTGTGCAGTTGCACAGCAGCGATCTCATGGGATTTAGAAAGATATGGCGGGATAGCCAACACAGAGTGCTGCAATGGAAGGATAGTGGGTCTTTAAGAAAGATAAACTAAAAAGGTGAGACGGTTTCACACTATGCAAAGGAGAGTGTCTGGTATATTTATTTTGGAATGAACGATGTGTCAGTCAAGAGCTTATTGGTAAGAATTAGCAGGCAAAACCACACAGGTTGTGTGGTGGGCATCTGCCATGGACCACCTCATCAAGAAGAGGTAAATGAAGCCTTCTTAAAACATCTTGAAGAAGTATGAACATCATAGGTCTTCATACACATCTGCAACTTCAATGACTACAGTACTGGCTGGTGGAAGAGTGTGGCTAGCAAGTCTGGAGGTGATTATTTTTCTACTTGTGACTTGTGAAACTGCATCTGAAGGACTGCACCTAAATTTTATATTCTCCACTAAAAGAAGGGCTTTGCCATATTGTGTCAAGTTCAGCAAAGAGCCAGGACTAGGGCCAAGGGCCTGAGCAATTTGGTGCACAAGGAGAAGTTGAGGTGATTTACCTGTTCAGCCTGAAAAAAAGGGTAATAGAGGATTTTATTGGGGTTTACAACTGCTTCCTTGGAGGATACATGAAAGGCAACAAGGCTCTTCATGGAGATGAAAACTGTGGTAGGGCAAGAGGTGACGTACCGAATTGGAATGCACTAGCATTCTGAATAGATATTAAGGGCAAAATCCCCCCACTGGCTAACTGCTGAAACAAGCTGCCTGGAAAGATTGTGGAATCCCAGTCCTTGGAGACATATTCAGATCTTGACAGGACAGATACCTGAACTACGTCATCTAGCTGGTCTTGCTTTTAGTGAAGGTAAGACCAGATGACCGCAAGAAGTCATTTCCAACATAAACTGTCTTGGGATTTGTCGTGGTTTAACCCATCCAGACAACTTGCTCACCCGCTCCCCCCCCCTTCTTGCCCTCCCCCTACTCCTGGAGGGACGGAGAGGAGAATCAGAAAGAATGCAACTCCCATGGGTTGAGATAAGAACAGATTAGTAACTAAGGTATAACACAAATCACTACTGCTACCACCAATGATAGTAATGATAAAGGAAATAACAAGGGAAGAGAATACAACACCTCATCACCCGCCAACCGATAACTCGTTCCCCCCAGCCCGACCAAGCATCGACCGATACCTCCTCCAACCCTGCAGTCCCAGCCCTTCCGGGTAGCTCCCAGTTCCCTCCTGGGCATGACATGCTGTGGTACGGAATACTTCTTTGGTCAGTTTGGGTCAGGTGTCCTGTCTCTGCTTCCTCCCAGCTTCCCCTCCTCCCTGGCAGAGCATGAGGCTCACCAAGTCCTTTGCCAAACCAAAACATCATTTTTCTCAGCTCTGTTCCCAGCCCAAAAGTCAAAACACAGCACTGCACCAGCTACCAAGAAGGAGAAAAATGACTGCTACTGCTAAACCCAGGACAGGATTCTATTACAAATGAGGAATCTTTGCCCAATTCTGTTTATAGTTTACAAATGCAGTACTTCAGATAAGAAATTGATGGAACTACCTGTGCCTACACACAGTTTGTAAGACCATAAGCATTTGACCACATCTAAAAGTTTTCCATAACCTTCATTTGTGTCACCTTTTGTCAATCAGTCAACTTTGTAGCTGAAAAAGTGGTTGTTCATATGCAATGCTTTTCCAAAGCCAGAATTTGCACAAATGTTTAAAAATCTCTGAGATATTGTTTTTTCCCATGTGCTAATTTAACCTTCAACTAGGAAATTGTTTCATACGTATACCGAATTTTAACAAGGGAAAAAAACAAAAGCAAGTGCTATAGTGGTGTAGTAAAAAGTTTATTACAACAGTAGTTGATCATCTGGAAACCTTGCTTTGGACTGGTAAATCTCAAAGGAAGAGGTGAGTTGTCACTTTTTAAAGTTTAGAACTTCTCCCCAGGTAATCTAATATTTAAGGAAATAATAATCTAGAAGATGTTGGACATGTAGAATGTGTTCAGAAAGACAACAAAGTAATCAATGGAATAGAGCAACTGTCTTATGAAAAACCAAAGACCCTTTAAGTTTGTAGAAGAAAACATGAGGGAAAGAGAGGAAGCTTTGAAAGAAAATTGTGATAGCAGGGGTTAAGCTGAAAGCAGAACTGTTGTTCACTGAAGGCTGTTCACAAGAAGTAAGAAGGTACTTGAAGAACTTCGTGGGATTTTAGACTAAGACGCACAAAAAAACTTTTAGCATATAACATTACATTTCTTTGTTTGCATCACCATATGTGATGTAGCTAGAGAATTTATTTAGGTTTAGTAAGAGATCAGACAAATTCACAACCAAAATGGCTGTAAACGGATATTAAAGGATCCTCTGATTTCTTTAATACACCCAAATGCTTGGCAGTTTCAAAGGGAGCAGACAGCTAGAAGTCACCAAGCAAATATACTCTCCCAAAATAGCATCTCTTTTTCTGCTCTCAGGCAGTTCTAGGCTTGATGCACAATTGCACTGAAT